GCTCCGTGGAGTTGCGATTGGCGGGTGTGGTGCTCCTTGGGTTCTGTTGTGCTTGGTTGATTGAAGCCTCCTGCACGTAAAAGGCAACACAGCTTGTGGAGTCGGCGAGAATCGGACTCGATCCGTGCATCTCGGGTCGACGCCGCCCGTGCCTGACGCAAAAATCGCGATGGTTCCATCGACTATTCATAGCGAGTGCCGTGCCCCTTTGGTCGAGCCTTACGCACATCCATACATACCATAAACAGCCCGGATTGATCGGGACGAGGGACACCTGAACCCCCCCCCCCCCCCTCCCGTATTCCACCACCACCCTCTCGTAAAACGCGGTCCTCGTCTTGGTCGTCATCGTCGCGCTCTCTCGCTCCCTCCGTCTCTCTTTTCTCCTACCGCATGTCTCTCGCACGCTCGTTTCCTATCGGGGCGTTTGATGGGCAGGTACGTGGTCTCATGCCAGGTGTTCGGCAAGATGCAGAAGTCTAAGAAGAAGGCGGACCTCGACAAGGCCGCCCACATCAAGATGCTCGCTCGCATTTACCCGGGACTCCGCATTGCCCACGTGGACGAGAAGTACGGAGAGTTTTACTCCGTCCTCTCCAAGAATGCGGGCAACGGTACCGACGACATGGAGGAGGAGTACCGCGTACGGGTAAGCGGCGGCGGACGGGAGTTCTGCGTCGTCCGGGCGTTCTCTCTTGTCAATGCGCTTGCTTTTGACTAATTGAGGATTTTTTTGGGGGGGGGATGTATGTAGTTGTTGCTTGCGTGCGTTGGATGTATTACGGCTCACCACATGGCCAACCAGCAACAGCGCCGCGGCTACGGTTGGAGTCGTGCGTGATTTCTCGACCGTTGTACTTGGTCGGGAATCCGATGCCAGAGGGTGTGAGGGTTGGGATGTGAGCACGTTAGATCCTTGCACTATTTAGTAAGTTCACAAAGCGGGGACGGTGTGTTATCTAGCTCAGGGCTGCTTTGGCAACGTGTTGGTTAGCCTGTCGGTGCCTGATTACCGAGCACGTGTTCGTGTGTGGACTTTTCAACTTGTTTTTCCTTTTTTTCTTCTTTGTCGTATTTTGTATCCTGGGTTGTTCGCTGCATGCCGCGCATGGACCGTGGCGTTGTTGTTTTCAGGAGTGAGTGTGAGCAAATTTCAACAGGCCTCGACGCCTCCCGTCCCTCACACGCCCGACTCCAACTCCCGCATGATGCACCCGCACCGTGGCACTGTTGTTGGCTGTCGTGCAGCTCCCCGGGCAAATCTTGGTGGGGGAGGGTAAGCCGAACAACCAGAACCACGCAGTGATCTTCACTAGGGGGGAGGCTATCCAGGCCATCGACATGAACCAAGATGCTGCTCTCGAGGACGCCATCAAGATCCGACAGGTAAACACATGTGTACTTTCCCCGAACCAACATTGGACGAGTATTACTTTTCCCAAACAAGACAACGCACACAAGAACAGAGCTCATTTTGAGAAGAACGATTATCTTCGACACGAGCGAACGCACAGTCTGCAGTTACTAGGATCGGGCTTCATCCTCACACCAGGAGAGAGTGGAAAATACGATGTTCACTACGTGTGCACCTGCCACCTGGTCTCGAGATTGCTCGAGTACGTATTCTGACTTCGTGCGTTTTTGTGTTGGATGCTTGCTTGTTTCCGAACCAAGGTGATGGAGGAGTTCAACTTTGCGGAGGGGGGTACGGGGAGGGGGCGCAACATCGGGCGAATCGTTGGCTTCCGCGAGCACGTGTTCACGCACGACGTGTCCGCCGTGGCTAACTTCTTCAGCCTGCAGGAGCTCAACTTCGTGTCGGCGACGCAGCGTGCGCTCGACAACCCACTTCACGTGAGAGACAATAACGAGATTCGACGAACACGACTTTGTTCTGTTGGGTGGAATGCACACATGTCCAAGGTAGCGGAAAAGGGCAAAGCACGCGCAGGGAAGCTGCACCCAATACTCGTAAACTGGCACCTCGATACACGCATCAAATTGAAAGTTTTGAGAGAGCGTAGTCGTAACGCCGCTAGAGTACGCCGGAGAACTATGGGAAGGAAATAAGAAGGTAGTCAAAGAACTCGAGGGGGCGCAGATGAAAGCAGCGAAAATCATCCTAGGATGCTCCAAGCGCACAAGTAATGCAGCCGTCAGGGCAGAATTGGGGATCCAATCCCTACGGTCGGGAAGAGACGCAAGGAAGCTGACATGGCAGTATCGCATGTGCGGGGTGGGAGAGGAGAGGTTGTCGAGAATAGTATGGGAGGCGAAGTGGGCAAACAGAAAGAGGGGTAGACAACCCACGGAATGGGTCAAGGTTGTAGAGGACGTATGGAAGGGGTTAGACATCGACAAAGATGAAACGCTGGAAACGGAGGGTCTACAGGGGTTCAAGGAGAAGATATCTGTTGCTTGTGCCAAGAGAGAATAACATATCTAAGGAAAGAAACCGAGGATAAGGAGGGTCTAGAAGTGTACGGAATGTTGAAAGAAGCACTAGGGTTCAAGGATTACCTACATGGACCAATGGATGCAGGGACCAAAGCTTAAGGTCAAATTTAGGACCGGGAACATAGGCCTTCGAGAACGTCGACGAAGACATAGGACGGTAGACGACGAAGACGACAAGTTCACATGTGATTGCGGCTTCGAATGCGAAGACCGTGTTCATGTAGTCGCGGAATGTCCGTGGTACGACGAGAAGAGGGAAGTGTACATGACGGAGCTGGGGACAATACAAGGGGCGTACAGGGAGATGTTTGAGGCATGGAATAGAGAGGAGAGGACGGTAGCTGTACTGGGGAGTAGGAAGTGGTTTGAAAAGGCGGGAAGGGATATCGTTAGGATAGACAGACTAGGCAAGACATTTTTGAGCCACCTTTGGCAAAGTAGGAAGGAACGATTGGCCATCGGTGATCGGTCCTGTGGGAACAATGCTCCGTCCTCTCGAGGACGCGTGGTCAATGGTCTAACCGCTAAGGCATGCAAAACATCAGAGTACGCCCCCCCCCTCCCCCGGCCGCCGTCGCTGACTGTAGGTCCGGTTCCACTACGGCCACCCCGACATCTTCGACCGCATGAGTGCGATCACGATGGGAGGTGTCAGCAAGGCCTGCAAGGGCATCCACCTGTCGGAAGACATTTTCGCCGGTTTCAACTACGTCCTGAGAGGGGGTGAAGCCACTCAGGCCGACTACATCCAGGTAATGTCGACTTGAGCATCTCTACCTCTGCCGACCACAATCGTTGCAGTATACCAAGAGATGTCTTCGCGCCGCGAGTTATCGGGTGGCAAAAGGGGGCGCTTTGTGCTTGCTGATGTTGCCGTTTTCCGTAATTGTTTTGCTATTTTTATTTTCGAATTTCCTCTGAGACACGCTTGCCCCCCCCCCCCCCCCCCGCCCCC